GGTCACCATGGGGAGTGCTACAATCAGTGTCAGTGGGTTTGGTTTCTTGATTGATCTTTGTAAATATACATCACTCTTACTAAGAGATTTCAAAAACCAAAACTGAATTTCAAAATGCTTAATCATTTATTTTGACAAAAATGTTCTCCAATTCTTACTTTTTAAATGAAACAACCTATGCACCACTAAGCTCAAGACACTCCCCTAAATGCTGCGAAATCTCAACTACACAGAGAGATGTCAGTCACAAAGCACACAGGTACACCACAGATTCTTTTCTGTAGTCGAAATCAGGTCTGGCTTCTTTTCCTTACACCTGATAAAGACATGCTGCTTGGGAAGATTCCAAAGTTACTCCTGGCAAAGTGCTTATTATTCTCTTGGGATTTAGGCATGTGACTATTGACTATATGCTTTAAAGGTCAAAGACGAATTTTTCACTGTAACCAAGCACATAAAGATAGCCCTGTGGGTTAATCTTATTTTAATCCCATAAAATCTTATTTATCCTTTAGTTCTCAGCTGTTAAAATAAAAATGTTATATGGCACAGAAACCAACAATGATCTTTGCTTACTTCAGACATGGATTTTCCTAACTCTCTAAGATAAATGATCTCGAAATGATTTTTATAGAACAATTTTTCATTCAGTTACTTAAAGTTGCTAATTATTTTCAATATCTTTGGTATAATATTTGGAGACTCTAAAGTTCTTGAAAAAATTTAAGGGAGTACTCTTTATGGAAACAGATTACCAACTTTTCTCTTGCAGAACAGCTGATGGGTTTGAACTGTCAACCTTCCAGTTATTGACCAATCACTTAACCACTAACCACTATGCTACTGGGGCTTCTTAACCAAGAATGGTTCCTAAATAGTATCAGTCATATTTCCTTTTTTGCCATATTAAAAAAATAATGGTTTTTTCCGTCAATTGTAATAACATAGTTATCAAAGGCAACATTAATGTTCTATAGCCTACTTTGCTGAGTAGAAACCAGAGTCTGATAATCTTTGGAGTAGTCATCTAAAGTGCAATTACTGGTTTTTCCTTGACAGAAGCAAAAAGAGTAGAGATAATCAAAGGCATATGAAGATAATTAGTCTGATGGAGTAATGGGCCACATAAACCCCAGCTTCTACTAGACAGAAGGTCCTAGGTGGAATGAGAGAAAGGTGTGGGGGAAATTTACCCTCCAAAAAACGGGAAAGGGGAGATATAGATATATACTGATGGAGTATATATACTGCTGACTAATGTCACCCTTTCAGCCAGCTGCATTGCTGACTCAACCTTCAGCCAAACAACAGAAAGTCCCTTAAGGTAAACATTAATATCAAGGAGGTATGCACTTCCTAGAATATTCAACCACAGGAGATCGAAGGTGCTGCATTTATTCAAAAAGCTCAGAAGGCAGGAAGGGATAGGAAAGGATGAATGGAAATGTTAAATATATGGAAGAAGGAGGAACTATGCTGTTACATGGAGCAATACATCAAGTGGAGATTGCAATCAATGTCACAATATGATTGTAATATGAATAAAAAATGTGTATGAATTGTTGAATGAAAAACTAATTTGCTCTGTAAATTTTCACCAATACAAAAATTAAAAAAAGACTGTTATGTTGTTGAGTGCCATCGAGTAGAGCACAAATCGTAGTGACCCTGTGAACAAAAGACCTGAACCCTGTTCTATAACTATTGTTATTTCTCTACGTGCATAGTGTCTCCAGAGGCATGCTGTTTCGGGAATGGATGCCACGACTGCTTCCAGACCTGTCTTAAGACTCCACTGTTGCAGACCGAGGGTCCCAAAGAATAGAATAATTTTATAATAAAGAGACAAACAGCCAGGAATGATATAGAACAGACAGCGTAAAAAACATGGGGCCAACAGTTCCCATGACTGAAGGCACCAAGCCATGCTTCTGAGTATTTATACAGAAAACAAGGAAGTACAAAACAAAGGATAATGGTGAAATCTTTTACAGATAAGGCCAAGTTCCTCTTTATGTTAATCTCAAGAGGGAGGGGGTTCATTTGATAAAAACTAAGAACAATGTTGACTCCTAAGGAACGCCCTAGTGTCACAAGGTGACCTTCAGCTTGTATTATTGTTGTTTGTTGTTGTTATGTGCCGTTGAGTCATAGCGACCCTATGCACAACAGCCCTAAACCCTGCTCTATCCTGCGCCAACCGCACCGCCTCTGACACACCTATCCCGATTACCCCAGTCACCGAATCAATCCATCTCATAGAGGGTCTTCCCCTCCTGCGCTGTCCCTCAACCCTCCCAAGCATGATGTCCCTCTCCAAGGACCCGTCCCTCCTGGAAACATGTCCAAAGTATGTCAGACGAAGCCCCAGAATCCTTGCCTCCAAGAAGTAGCTTGGTTTAATCCTCTCCAAGACAAATCCGTTTGTTTTCCTGGCAGTCCAGGGTACATTCAGTACCCTTCTCCAGCACCACAGCTCAAAAGCATCCATTCTCCTTCTGTCCTCCCTAGTCACTGTCCAACTCTCTGATGCATAACAAGCAATTGCAAATACCATGGCCTGTATCAGGCGCACCTTAGTCTCCAGAGAGACACTGTTGCTCCTGAGTACTTTAGAGAGGTCCCTAACAGCAGACTTTCCCATCACGATACGCTTTTTGATTTCCTGACTGCTGGTGCCAAGAGTGTTGACTGTGGAGCCGAGCAAACTGAAGCTGTGAATAATCTCAATCTCTTCGTCATCCATCCTGATGCTGCCAATTGGTCCAGTGGTGAGAATCTTTGTCTTCTTGACATTGAGCCTCAGTCCATACTGAAGACTGCAGTCCTTGACCCTTCGCAGCAAGTGCATGAGGTCCTCCTCAGTTTCAGCAAGCAGGGTTGTGTCATCTCCCTCATTTCCCGATAGAGCATTTGGTCTACTATTATTAAATTTTATATTCGGCTTCCCTCACTCCACCAAACACTCACAACCATGTGTAAGTGTTATGACCTTTGACACACCAGTGGCATAGTGTTCAGCATCACAGCAACCAAAGTTAGCTCAGTACAGCAAATTGACAGACAGTGCTGTGCCACTTAGAAGAATGTTCATCTCAAACATAATTAACACCAGATCCTGTTGACTTTAAATAAAAGTTCATTGTTAGCCAAATGCAGCAAACCCAATCAGTTCATACAAAATTATAAATGAAATTCCTAGTGGCAAGAAGCTGCATTGCAATCCCAAAGGTGAGCAGTTCAAATCCACCAGATGCTCTGCTGGAGAAGGAGGAACAATCTCCTCCTGTACCAGTCAGATCTGATTTGACAGTATACACACACACACAAAATAATAAAATAAAAAACATTTAAAAAATATAAATGAAATTTAAAAAAGCAACCAAACAATCCACACCCAACCCTCAACCTAAACGAGAGAGCCCATGTTCAAGAATCCAACTGTTTCAAAATTCTGAAATGTGTATAATATGCTTCCATTAGGGGGAACAAACAAACAAACAAATAAAACAACCAAACAAAAAACCAGAGAGAAAAAACAGATGTATTTGCTTATATGGATACAATATTTTTGGGTGTTTCATAAAAATTGGTTAACAGTGGTTGCTTCTGAGACAAGAGTATGGTGACAAGACAGCGAGATTTTTTACTACACATAATCCTGATTTTCAGTTATGTGAATGAAATAACAATTAAAAATAAATTAAAAGTCAATGGAAACAAACAAAAACCACAAAGCAATGCTTTTGAGGGCAAAGCATAAAGCAATCCCAGGAAACTCAAGAAGTTCAGAATTTGCTTAACTTTTATTTCCCAATCTCCTTATTTAAACATTTATGCTAAAAGTAATTCCATTAAACCATGATATGACATCTTTCTAGCTACAACTCTAATTCCAAGTGGCATATGGAACAAAGCACAAACAAATGGTCACTTTCTGTCATCTTATCAAAAGAAAAGCCAAATTGATACTAGCAAATTGATACTAGTAAATTGATACCAGTTCAACATTTTCTACTCTGAGTAGGAGCAATACAATCACATTTTAATTCTAAAACAAAATATGTATGAATGGTTGAAGAGAAAATCAACTTGTCTTGTAAATTATCATTCAAAACATTATAAAGAGATATTAATAAATCTGTCCTCTCTCATAAATTAAAAAAAAAAATCATAAAACAAAGGGAAGTTGGTTTTTAAGGAAGTATGCATAAACCAACTTATTTTCAAGGCAAATCTGGCTCAGCCTCTCAACTGAAATTCAAGTCTACATGGGTCTTTAAACTGCATTTTTACTCGAATAATGTGCAAGATATGTAGTTTCTGCAAACTGTACAATCCCCTCATGCACTATATTACTACGTGTACCATATAGGTTATTTATATGTGGCATTATATGTGCAAACATGGTACTGGATCCTATACTAAATATTACATAGTGCATACTTAGTTCTCCTTGGCATCTCTAAAACTATTTATGTACCTAAACTACATTCTACTTCATATAATCCAGCTGCTTGGATTACTTGCTCAGTATACACATGGAATTAAGTATGGTGAAAGGATATAACCCTGACATGCTTCTTTTCTGATTATAAGCCACATAGTGGCTCCTTGTTCAGAAAAGCTGATGAGTTAGTATACAAAATTACTAGAATAATATATGTTGAGTGTTATAAAGGAATATTAAAAATTTCAAGTAATTTCATTACTTTTTAAGGAAGTTTCCCTTTCTACTCAATCTGTGGAAAATATGAAGCTGAAAATGGAAGCAATGGTAGCTGCTGAACATATCTGCAACTCTGGTCACTCAGAGTCCTAAGAATGACAAACTTCATGCATTCAGACATAATTAAAACCGTCTCTTCATACTGTCAAATCTGTTTGAGTTAAAGTAGTTATATGATCAATGGTTTCTAAACATATTTTTAAAATTTGATACCAATATATTTGTGATCTTTATTTCAATTGACTAATTGGAAATGATAAAAAATACTCACTCATGTAACGGAAAGTCTCTTCAGCAAGGACTGGAGAGAGAGTATCAGGAGCATTTTGGTGCTGGAGTGAGGATTGAGCCCAGTCTTGGTTTTCATATAGAAAGAGAGAGTCCACTCTCAGCTTGTACTGGGGTAGTTGTTCCTCTAGTAGACTCACCAGCTCAACTTCAGGGAGATCCTCATTGGAGCAGACATCTAAAGGAGGGATTCCATGAAAAAGAATTTACAAGGCTATAGAGAAAAACCTGCTCTGTGAAATTAGATAATAAAAAATATTGTATTAATATATCCTGGTACTACAGTTTATTTTTCTTCAATATAAACTTTTGAAAGTTAAAAACAAAAAAACAAAACAAAAAAACCAAAAACAAAAACACCCCTAACACGCTCATAGATTTAGTTATAGCCTATCTAAAATATATTGCTTATAAACGTAACTATGTTTTTAAACTTTAAAATTAAACTGGAGAACCTCTTATTTCTTTGATATGAACCTACATATCACTGTTAAAAAGTTTTGCCATTTGTTAAAATCATAATGAAATTAAAATAAAATTTTACTTAAAGAAATAAAAGAGGTTTCTTTTTTAATAGCATGTATGATTGGAGAGGGGGGGAAAGGGCAACATAAAAACCAGCCAGCATAAAACCGGTTCAAAAGGATAAAATTACATGGCTTTTTCCTAGTAGAATTGAAATTCTGGGGTAGGAGTCTTCAAAAATTTGGAAAAATTAGATTCTGGTATATTCCTGCAAAGTTAAAATATTTAAAAAGAATTCTAAAATTAACATCAGCTTTTACCAAGTGATGACACTGGAACAAGTACTTTATCATTTACTTTAAACATAAAGTACATGTAAAACTTAAATATGTGAGAAAAAAATCTGAAAAAGGAGAAAAATATCATTTCTCCTAAAATTTTCTCTTGCTTTCACAGAGTAAAAAGTCAGTATTTTGTTGTTGTTAAGTGCCATCAAATCAACTACAACTCAGAGTGACCCTATTTACAACAGAGCCGAACCCTGCCCTATTTTGTGTCACCCTCAAAATCTCTAATGTGCTCAAGCCCACTGTTCTAGTCATTGCGTCAAATGATCTCATTGGGGGTCATTCAGTATGTGATAAAGAACACAGACTTTTATTTTTATTTTTATTTTTTTTTAATTACTTTTTGTGTGCTGTCAAATTGGATCTGACTGGCATAGGAGGAGATGCCCTTCCTTCTCCAGCGGATCATTTGGTGGATTTGAACTGTGTGCCTTTGGGATTGAAGAATACTGACTTTTAAGTCAGTCCTGGACTTTCACTAACTGAGAACCATGCCTTGTTTATCTGGTTGGGACTGCTGACTTGAATTGTGCGATATTCTTTGCCTCTCTCACTCCCCAATTTATTTCCTTAATAACCCCCAAAACTGTGAGTAAAGTCCCTGAGTCAATTTTCAATGAACACTGGACATAATGATTCACAGAAATAGGTGCAGGAGCATGTGGCATGGCAGACGATGTAGCTATCTGTATGATACTGTGGATGTTATCGATGAGGACAGTTCCCCTTTACGAAGTTGCCAGAAGTCAGAGTCAGCCACCCTAAAGTTGCAGCTGTTCTTTTCACACCTATCTTTACTATTGTTTTACTAATGAGTTTTTAGATCTAGAGATCACATCAAGTATCTAAATACCAAAAATCTCAAAATCCACTCAAATTAGTTTTGATTCATTGTAACCTTGAAGGGTAGAGTAGAAATGCTCCATAGAAACTCTATGTAAATCATTGTGTAAGTGGCTGGTAGATATGAATCAATGAACTTCTGGCTACCAGCCAGCTTTTTAACACTGGCCTCCTTTTAGCATCTAAATAGTTGAGAATATTAGAGGTAGAAGGCACTACAGAAATGATTTAATACAGCCTCCTGGGTAAGAAAACTGAGACTGGAAAAGTGACTTGCTGAAGATCACTTCATTTGTCTTGATTTCTTCTCCAACATGCTACTCAATCAACCATACGGCCACCTCTGGTTACTATCTGCTCGCCTGCTTACAGTTATAAAGGCTGACCATTTGTCCTAACAGCAGATCCTACATACCATTTTTCTAATATTTTACATCAGTCTTATATACCACCTATCCCCCCCATGTCTAGCCTACTTGCTTTGTTATTTTTCATTCTTAATATTCAAAAGGGTCAAGGGTTCAGCCCATGACTACACCTTTCTGAGTCTTAATTTTCTTCACTTATAAAACAAAGAGAGGATCATTTACCTCATACAATAGCAGCTGCAAGATATACATATTAGGGTACCTTAATTTTTTAAATATATGGGTAATACTTGAAACATGACAGGTACACAGTGGCACAACTCTTCTCTTGCCTGCCAACCCCTGTACCTGTACACCTCTCAGCAAACAAGTGAGCTATTCATTCTGACTACGTGTTTTGCTTCTGGCTTCAATTTCCATTATTGTCCATCACTTAATATCTTCCAAACATAGCAGTTTAAAAAGGAGAGTTATCCTTTGTAGAGCTTAAAATAGGAAAAATACAGGATGTCACATCAACCCTCTCACTTTTAAAAAGAGATCTTGTATTTCTTTTGTGGGTGGTGTGAAGATGACCTAACAAATTACATTTTGAGAAAGCAAGTTTTAAGAGTATATTTCTATTCTTTTTCCTTAAAGGAAAGTTAATAAGTTAAACTTATTAATGGGAATTTAAGAAGCCAAATACTAGGAATTTGTCAATTATTAGACATTCCTGTTTACCCAGAAGGACAAGTAGGTTCTTCATACACCCAAAGAGATAAATAATGATGTACATTTAAAATCTTAAATATAGTTCTCAAGAAGCTCTCAAATCTTAGGAGAGCTTTCAGATAAAAATCTTGAAAATACAATTAAATTCTATTACTATAAATTCCATTTGATTACCTAAAATTTTTCTGCCACAAATACATCACATACAGATTGTCACTGTAATATTTCCAGAGAGACTATAAATAAATGTCAACCAAAACACAGATTTTCAGGCATTCAAAGACTGTAACACAAAGGAAGAAGGAAAGTGACATTCATTAGAAGAGCTAGTATTCCCTCGATGTTTCCTCTCAATAAGCAGTAATAAAATTCTGTGCAAATTTAAGGTTCCCAATACCCTACTTGCAAGGAGTTATTTAACAATAATGGTACAGTTAAAGTTTCGTACATTGAGCTAAATATATTTCAAGCAAATTTCTTTTATTTGTGTCCACATTCCAAGCCTGACAATCACCCTCTTCATATTTTCCAAATGCCTCTTCCACTCTTCCACTTCTTTCCACTCAAAAATATTGAGGACCGCCTCTTGTTTGTTCTGGTGACAACAAAATCCAAATATCCAACAACATACATTCATAATGCACAGCAGAGAGCTCTGGTGGCTTAGTTTTAAGGAGCTGCACTGCCAACTCAAAGGCACATGGTTTGAATTCACCAGCTGCTCCTTGGCAGAAAAATGGGCAGTCAACTCCTGTGTGACTTACTGCCTGTGAAAACCTGCTGCATGGTCAACTATGAGGCAGTTTCAACCTGACAGCACACAACAACAATGCTGAGTATCTAGAAGTAAAGTACCAAACATGTAAAAGTAAATTATAATCAGGAGAAAAATAAATCAGAACTGGCAAGCTTATTATGACTGGGAGCTCTGGCAGTACAGTCAGTAGCAAAGTGCTATATGTATCTGGAGATTCAAGAACAGTGGCTCCAAGGCAGAAAAATGTGCAATCATCTCTCATTGCAATTTACAGTCTCAGAAATCCAATCCAATGGAAGGTTGTAATCAGCTGGAACCAACTTTAAGGCAGTGAGTCTGAAGTAATCAAAGTGGTGGCAAAATTAATAGGCAACAATTTAAGAATAGTTACTATTAATAAACTCAAGGACTTAAATAAAAATATTAATTTAATTAAAAATACAAAAAACAAACCAAACATAAGGAAAACCTTTATAAAATTCAAATGACACTAAGAGAAAAGTATATCCAAAATGAAAAATTTACTGGAAAATATCAACATATTAGACATCCTTTAGAAGAAATAGACAGAAAACGTGAAGACAAGCCAATGGAAACTATGCAAAATAAAGCAAAGAGGGGAAAAAAGACTTAAAAAAATGAACAGAATTTCAGGGATTGGTGTCACAGCATCACAGTCTAATACACCAGCAAACGGAATCCCAGAAGAAGAAAAGGAACAGGACAAAAAAATAATGTATAAAATATGAAGGGAAAAAACTCCTACAAATTTAATTAGACAAACTCAATTCCCTTGAGTAGAAACCAACTCATAGTTGACCCTCCAGAAGGTTTTTGGAACTACAATTCCATAGGGAGAGACTGTCCCATCTTTCTGCCATGTAGCTACCACTGGGTTAGTAGCACAATTCCCTAAGACCGCTTATAATCCAAAGAAACTCAATGTCCTCTCAAGCAGGATAAGCAAAGAAAAATCACTCAAAGATGTATCATAGTCAGACTGCTAAAAACCAATGTTAAAAAAAAAAAAGAAAAGCCTTCAAAAGCACAGAGAGGGGGGGAAAAACATTACATATAAAGGAACAAAAGTTAAAAAACCCCCTCAGACTATTCATCAGAAAGAATTCAAGGTAAAAGACAATGAAATAATACCATTAATTAGCACAGGACTCAGTACCAGTGAAGGCACTATTCAAAAAAGATGAAAAAGACTCTTCTAGAAAATCTAAAACTAAGACTCTTCATTGCCAAGTAGCTGATTATATTACAAAATATGTTAAATAAAATTCTCCAGGTGAAAAGAAAATGACAACAGATGGAAAATTCAATCTACAAGAAATAAAATGTGTACCAGTGGATCATGAGTAAATATCTTTCATATCTTATTATTTAAAATAAAATACACAAGAAATAAAAAAGAATCCCCCTCCCCAAAAATACATTATGCATACAGCAAAAATAGATGTAAAAGGTACAGCAACAATAATATAAGCTAACAGGGAAATGGAAGAATATTAATGTAAAAGTATCATTTTGTGAAATAAAAAACCATTGCTATAGAATGGAGTCTAACTCACAGTGACCCTCTGTCAAGTTTCTGAGGGTAAATCCTTAATAGGAGACTTTCTCCCTCAGAGCAATTGGTGAATTTGGACCACTGACTTTTTGTTTAGCAGTCTGCCATGCCCTGCACTAGACCACCAGAGCCCCATTTTAGAAGACAGTGTAATATTAATTGAAAGCAGGCTGTAGTTATATTGATATTCATTAATTACATTACTCAGGAAGTCCAAGTAAATGAAGCTCCAACATGATGTATAAACTTTCACTGAGATAAAATGTAAAACTTTTTTTTTTAAAAAAAAAAGAAAGTGAGAATGGAACAACCGGAACAAAATAAAAGAGAATGTTAGCACCATTTGGGAGGAAAAAAAAAGTGTACTGCAAACCAGAGCAAATACAAAGCTAAATGGGAGGTACATATAATAAAGTTGACAAGAGTTGGCTGCACAAAGGTGGATATGTTTTATTAGGCTATATTATTTATCCATAATTCTTAAGGAAAATGTGAATATATCATGATAATTTACTAAAACGATGAAGACCATACTACAAAAAAGTTAAATACACAATTATAAAACAAAACAAATAAAAAACCACCCCCCAAAAAACTTAATCTAAAAAAAGAACAAAAGGAAAAAAGAGCAAATGAAGCAAATAAAAAACTAGGAACATAACAGATACAATCAACGAATAATCACAGTAAATATTAATGATCAGTAAATGAACTGAAAAAAGTAAGATTCAATTTTAAGCTATATTTAAGAAATACTCTTAGGGGAGCTCTGGTGGTCTAGTGGCAAGAAGCTGCACTGCACTCCCAGAGGCGCATGGTTCGAATACCACCAGATGCTCTGCCGATGAAGGAGGGACAATTTCCTCCTGTACCAGTCAGATCTGATTTGACGGTACACACACACACAAATAATAAAGTAAAAATAAAAAAATTTTAAAAATTTAAAAAAAAAGAAAGAAATACTCTTTAAACAAATAAACAAAAAAAGTCCACACAAACTTTTTCTAAAAAAAATTGAGTGCAGAATGCCACAACTTACTTTGAAACCAGAGTTACCCCAATACCAAATCAAGCAAAGATATCATAAGAAAAATACAAACTAAAAGTCCCCATGAATGCGGGCACACACACCTCCCCCGAAGAATCATTAGTAAATAAAATCCAGAATACAGAAAAAGAATACTACAGCATGATAATGTGGAGCTTTTCTCAAGAATGCAAGGGTGCATTAAAATAAATCAATAGCGTTTAACACATTAACATACTGAAAAAGAAAAATTAAATGACCTTTTTAGTAAGTACAAATACTTAACACACAGAAGCAATTCATGACAAAAACCCTTTTTGTTCAACTAAGAAGAAAACAGTTTGATAAAGGGCATTCTCAAGAAATGTAGTTAATATAATACTTAAAGACTAAAAATATGGCAAGGATATTTGCTGTGCACTTGTATTGAACAATGTACTGAGATCATCACCAGGTCAATAAGATAAGAAAAAGAAATGGAAGGCTTATGGATAAGAAAGGAATATACAAAGTACCTTCATTTGCACATAACATCAGGTTGTACATAGAAAATTCTAAAGGTGGCACTACTGATAAGAATGGCACTAAAACAATTACGTAGGCGAAACAATTATATATATGATAAGAATTTTCAATGACAATAACCAGGTAATTAAAAATAGATTGAAAATAGCATTTTCAATGAATGCTGTAAAAACAACTAAATATTAAATTTCTTAAATTTGCAATCCACTTATCTGTTCTAAGATTTGCATTTAAAATATGCAAAGAACTGTTACAATTGAATAAGATTATAAATACTCAATTAAAAATGGGTAAAATATTTAAATACACAACTAAAATGTGATATTGAAATGGCCAATAAACACATAAAAAAGTTATTTCTCAAATTCAAATTACACACTTAAAGTAGGCACACTTTATTTTTTTTTTATTTTAATGAAAGTTTATAAAGAACTTGGATTTCTAGTCATTCATTGTTGTATATTTTCCTCCCATCCCCTTTCCCCATTTTGGGTTTTTGTTTTTAGTTATTTCATTGTTAAACAGTCCCCCAACCGCAGACCACTTTACTATGCAACTCTTGTTCTGGACTCTTGTCATGCCAATAATACCTAATCATATATTCCTTTTATACAGTTCTTTCTCTCATATGTTTCAATGCCATGTGCATTATTTATCCTGTTTTCTTAATTTTCCCCAACCCCATTTCAGTCCTGTCCTATAACAGTGACATTATGCAATATTTGTCTTTTTGCGACTGAGATATTTCACTCAGCATAATGTCCTTCAGGGTCGCCCATTTTGTAAATATTCATGAGTTCTTTGTTTTTCAGTACAGCATAATATTCCATTGTGTGAATTACCACAGCTTCTCTATCCATTCATCTGCTGATAGGCACTTGGGCTGTTTCTAACTCTTTGCTATTGTGAACAAAGCAGCAATAAACATGGGTGTGCATATATCTGCTTAGGTGGCAGTTCTGGTTTCTTTAGGGTATATTCCCTGTAGAATTGCTGGGTCAAATGGTATTCCTATTACCAACTTTTTGAGAAAGCGCCATACTGCCTTTCATAGTGGTTGCACTGTTTTACACTACCACCAACAATGAATGAGAGTTCCAGCTTCTCCACAACCTTGCCAGCATTTGTTTGCTGTTCTGTTAAATTTTGCTATTCTTACTGGGGTGAGATGATATCTCATAGGTGCTTTGGGCATACTTTATTTTAATAAAAACCCACCACCTCATTGCCATGGAGTGTGAACCCACTCAAAGCAGAGTCTCCACTGGATTTTTTTTTAACAAGGCTGTAAATTGTACAGAAAGTGATGCCGAATCTTTCTGCCTTTGAGCTGCTGATGGATTTGAACCAAAAGAGGGGTGTGGCCTTTGAATTAGCATTGTAACTCCCTATATACTGCCAGAGTTCCATTTTAATAATAATTCAATTATTATTATTTGGGAGCTCTTGTGGCCTAATGGCAAGAAGCTGCACTGCAATCCCAAACGCACGCAGTTTAGAAGCCATTGGATAGGCAATCTCCTCCCCTGTGATTAACAAACTGCCTATGAAAACCTACTATTCTATATATAGGTCAGTTCCAGACTCTCTGGAAAACAACAACACAACATAAAGCTTATTTAGAAATAAATTTATTAACCTATGGGGTTAGATGGATTTTAAGATTAAAAAATTTTAAATAAACAGTAAACTCATAATCATTGCTGTCATCAGAACCAACTCATAGTTGACCCTCCAGAAGGTCTTGGGAAAGTGTAATCACGTGAGTGAAGAAGACTGTCCCTCTTTCTCTTGTGGAGCCGCTGGTGAATCTGAACTGCCAGAAAGGCATCATCTTTGTGACAGCACCACAACTCCCTTCCCATCAGGCCAAAAGAAAAAGGGCAGGGATGGGGGGTGGGGAGGGGAGGGGAGAGGAAGAGAGTTTTAACGATCCCTGCAAGATGAAACTGGCACTCAGCAACAATAACCACCGATGTTTAAACACTCTATAGTCCTTGAGAGTTTCTCATCTGTCAGACGTTACTAAGGGCTTGCAAGTTGTATGAACACAAGTAACTCTGTCCTTGCCCTGCAGAGATAAAATGACACAAGGGATACAGACCACACAGATTATGATAATGCCAATGGAAATACTAGAAATAGGAAACATTAAATAAGTCTGTCCCTGACAACATGCTAGAAAGTGGAAGTTTCATCCTGGCAGGTCTTGTACACTGAACTGTACTGAGTTGTAGCATTCTAATCTGTATTAAACTACTTACCAGTGATGCTCTCCGAGTCTCTGTGATTGATATTCATGAGGTTTTCTTCACCTGTTGATGATGTAAAAATGGCATTCTGGGATTGATTCATGCAGGATGTTTTCTTGCTTTGGTTGAGAAGAGCAGCTTTGGTATATATCTGAGTAAAGGAAATCCATCAAGCCATTCAACAGAGAAATGGATCTGGTCATATGGATTTTCTTTTTTAAAATAATTTTTTGGACAAGTTAATGATGTGCAGCAAGGAGCATTCTCATGTCATTCACATACCACGGGCAGCTGTGACCTAAAACAAGGGACAGAACAAGTGATTTTAGAATTCAGCATGCTCTTTAAAACCAACAGCGCAATTACCAGCAATGCTCATCATTTTTCTAATGACAGACACAACAACATGGATGAATCTCCAAATAGTTACACTGGATGAAAGGTAAAAAATAAAACAACGAAAGAGTATACACATTATGATTCCTTTTTATGAAATTCTAGAAAATAATGTATACCACACAAAGAGTAGATCAGTAACTGTTGGAGGCTGAGAAAGGGAGTGTCAAAGCAGAAAGGCTGAGGGGCTGAGGAAAATGCTCATTATTTTGATCATGCTGATCATTTCACATGTGCATGCATATGTCAAAACATCAGTGTCCGGCTTAAATATGCGCAGTTTAGTGTGAGTTGAAATTCATTAAACTCTTTTAAAAATTTAAAGAGAGAACTGACTAGTTGAAGGAAAAAATATTAACATCTTACAGGGTCTTTATCATATATAGAAGCAAAACAGGTAACAAAAGTAGTACAAGGGCCAGAAACATAAAAATGCAAGGATATTGTTTTAAGGCTTTCATATCATGCATGAAGTAGTAAGCTATCAGCTGTGAGCAGACTGTAACAAGTTATAGATATATACTGTAAACTCTAAAGCAACTAATTATCCAACAAGTAGATAAAAATGAATCCTTTAAGTTAGTTATTTATAGTGTTGCTATGAGTTGTACCTGACTCAACAGCACCAAGCAACCACCATCCCAGTATTACTGATGTTGAGAGCTCAGTGATTCTTTGTTGGGTTCACTGTAAAAGGATTAGAAGCAATCCAGGCCTCTACTCACCAAATGTTAGAAGAATTTTGTCAAACCATCCCTATTTGTTACGACAGCCAAAAACACTGCCAGATGTCGCCCGGGAGGTCAAGGCTGTACTCTAGCTTTGGACAAAACTGAATTTCAAGCTTATTTACTGGTTTCTGACCTTAAGCACATTTACCATTTTTGAGCCTCAGTCCTTCATTGTCATTAGCTACCCTTTATAACGGAGCTAAGATATGAAAAATACCTAGCTTTAGTAGATAGTCAAATATTAGCTCCCATCATTTGGGCCTGAGGGAAAAAATATTTTATCCTAATATTTCTTTAACTTTCTTGCTCAGTCATCTTTGAACTTAGAATAACTAATATTTTTTCCTATGGAATAGATGTAGTATAAATATTATATGGATACAATCTTCATATCAAAAGAGATAAGTACTAAGAAACAGCTTCTAACAATAAAGTAACAAGTTTTATAAAGCTGTGACTACTGAAGGAAAATGTTACTGCAGTTCATTCTTCCATGGAATCTGGGGAACGCTGACTTTAATGAGTAATCGAACTATATAAGTACTTCACAGCATGCTAACTATATTAGTTTCCAAAAGCTACTGTAACAAATCATCACGTAGTTTCTATAAACACCAATTTACTATTTTATAGTTCTGAAGATCAAGAGAATGAAATGGTTTTACTGCATCAAAACCAAGGTGTTGTAGAGCTGTGCTCCCTCCAGATGTTTATTAGAGAATTCACTTCCTTGCCTTGTCTAACTTCTAGAACTGACTCCTCGGTTTATGGTCCCTTCTTTCATATTCATAGTCTGAGGTGCAGCATCTTCAAATCTTTCTCTACACTTCTATTGTTGCACTGTCTTCTGCTGCTACCAAATCTCCCTCTGCCTTCCTCTTATGAAAACATTTGTGAATACATTTAAGGTCCAATCAGATTACCCAAAAGAATCTATTTTAAGATACTTAATCATACCTGTAAAATTCTTGCTGCCACTGAAATGACTATTTGCAAATTTTAAGGGATTAGGGTTCCAATATCTTGATGTTATACAGCTGACCACACATTTAAAATACTGTTTTTGGAGATAGCCCACCTACATTTGAATCTCAGTTTTTTAGTCAATTAATTACTAGTTGTATGCCCTTGGACAAGTTACTTGGCTTCTCTGGACGCCAGATTCTTTATCTGCAAAATGAACCAGAGTCTACCTTAAGATAGTTACCCACTGCTGTTGAGTTGTTCCGACTCAAAGCAACTGTCCATTGGGTTTCTGAGGTTTAACAGAAGAAAATTGTCTACCTTTCTCTCTTGAAGTGGCTGATGGATCCAAACTGCAGACTTTTCAGCTTGCAGCCCAATGTGCTGTACCACCAGGGATCTTTTTATGATAGCTATGGGATTACATGAATTATGTGAGGCTAATAATAGCTCCTACAGCAGAGGGTCACTGAAGGATTAAATTAGTTAATCTATCTAAAGCTCCTGGAGCAAAGTGTTGGCATTCAGTAAAATGTTATGCAAGTATTAATTATTAATCTAACTATCACCCAACAGTGACTATTTTATTATCATGAAGATATTGCTGTATACCTTACAAAAAGTTGGGTATCACCTAACACCTACATTAACTGCATCTCTTCTCAGCACTGGAAGTCACATGGTGTTTATATCCTGCCCTCTAATGAGTGGAGTTAGTTGAGTACCACTAACTATACCCCCCCACCACCCTGTCCCATGCCTCTGACACATGAATAAATTTAAAGCTTGCAGAGTCAAAAATAGAAGAAATTTAATCTGACAATAAAATTTTCAGTACACACACACACACACACACACACACACACACACATTCTTTGTACCTCCTTAAGTGCCATTTACTTTTTAACATTAGATCTTTATTCGGTCTTTTCAGGAATAACTTTGTTGCTTATCTTTACAACCACACAGTCAAGTATGGATTATTTTAAAAGAAATCTTTGTAATTCATGCCATCTAAGAGGAAATAAAAATAAAGAGTAACAATCAAAATATGTTCAAAATATAAATGTTGCTGGCAGGAAAAACCAGTATGTCTAATGACTTAAATAGTTTAGCCCAGTCATGGGACAATGAGTGACTAAATATAGACACTCTGCCTTAAAAAAAATCTTGATACTTCCTTTAAAACAGTGGCAACAGTATCACAAAAAAGATTAAAACAGCACAGGAAAACATCATCTAAATAAAGAGTGTGAGGCCTAGGAAAACAGTTATAAATGTAAGGACTTAATTAACAACTAAAATTTTTTTAAAAATTCTTTTTCATTATTCAAATAATGCTTTAGGAATTTATTTAAAACAGAAATGTAGAACCTTTAAAAAATTTACTTCCATTAATGTCACAACCATATAACAGGTTAAAATATGCAAAACTACTATCTACACTTTGACCACATATTCATTCAACTATTTCTCAGTGCAAATTCATTTGTAAATATTGCAAAACTACACATGCAAATACATTTTTTAAAATATACAAAAGGTACTTTACACATGGACCTCACCTGATGGACTACATACGAATCAGAATGAAAAAGGGCAGCCAGAGTGCTCCTTACAGGCACGGATGGTAAAACTTCATCTTACGTATTCTGAACATGTTGCTAAGAGAAGCTATTCCTTGGAAAAGGGTATCATGCATGGAAAGGTCAGCAAAAGAGAGTAAGACTCTCAAAGAGATGGACTGACACAGGACTGCAGGAATGGGCTCAAGTGTGTCAGAGATGATGAGGATGGCACAGGATAGGACAGGATTCTAACCTGTCATTCACAGGGCTACTCTGAGTCGTACCCAATGACAACAACAACAACGCAAGGATTAAAATAAGTTCTAGTTGCTTAAGGACATTGTAAAAAGATCAAGGTGTTGTTATGTACCATCGAGTTGGAATTGGTCCACAGCTGACCCTCCAGTGAGTTCTCAGAGGCAATAAACTGCACATCAGAGACTGCTGATCTTTCTCCCTTAGAGCAGCTGGTGGATCCAAACTCCATGCTTCTGGGTCTACGTGCACTGTAAAACTCATAGTTTTCCCAAAGGAGAAAAAAGAATGAAAGGAAGAAGAGAATAGCTGAAATTCTTTTTGTGGTAGTAAAACAGAGTAGAAATGTACTCTACTTTGGAGCATACAGTCAGAAAGGGAGAATATTTAGTTCCATTTGTAGGAGAAACCCATGTAGGCTGCTGATATGTACCCTGGAGCCAGAAGAACATCAGTCACCAACTAGAGAAACAGCTGTAAATGCAGGAGCAACCTAACCGACACAAAACACAAGCAATACAATTTTTTCAAAAACATAAAGTCACCATGTTGCTGAGAAATCCTGATAGTGCAGTGTGCCTGGCTACTAATCCAAAGCTTAGTCACTCAAACCCAATTAGCTGCTCTGTGGCAGAACGACCTGGTGATCTGCTTCCATAAAGACTAGATCCAAGATCACTCACTCACAGAAACAACCATGTTCCTATATTTAGAATAGGTTTTTTCCCCCACAAAGACTAGTTTTCCAATCAATAGTTCATATGATTGACTCTGCAGTATGTCAGTATTTCTATTTTCTTCCTGGGTGCCCCATTTCCATTTGTCTAGTCTCCCTGTCACCCCTTGCCTTCTCATCTTTGGTTTTGGACACATGCTGCCCTTTGGGGCTCATCTAGTTGACTGTTCTAAGGAGCATATTCCTGTTAGCGTTTTTTAAGTACTGTCTCACTAATTGACCTTGTTGTTGTTGTTATGTGCCGTCGAGTCATTTCTGACTCACAGCGACCCTATGCACAACAGCTCTAAACCCTGCTCTATCCTGTGCCAACCACACTGCCTCTGACACACCCATCCCTATTACCCCAGTCCCGAATGAATCCATCTCATAGAGGGTCTTCCCCTCCTGCGCTGTCCCTCCACCCTCCCAAGCATGATGTCCCTCTCCAAGGACCCGTCCCTCCTGGCAACAT